ACATTTGACTCTAAATGAAGTATGTTCCTCTCACACCACCTAGTTATAAAGTATTAATTACAATTTTTATTGTAATACCTACATAACATCTTGCTTTGAGTGTGCAGTACGACTACAATTGTAATAACTTACAAACACAAAGCGCATATTATTCATCAGTACCATTTGTCTTCAGCTAAGTTGCATTGCACCATGATAAATTAGAGCTTAGTACTTCACTTCACTTTTTATTTTTATGGCTCCATCAATATGAGAACTGATGATTTTGCCAATGTCACAGTTGAAAGAAAAAAAAACGAAACAAAAAAAAAATTTTCGCTAAGCTCTAATAGGACATTAACCGGTGTTGGTAAGTTGGACTACGGGAGTACTCAGTTGAGAATGTAAAACAAAACAGCAAAACAATATTTATAAATATATGTTATTTAAGTGGATAAATTTACATAGAGTAACAATATGGGGGGAGAACACTAAAGTTAAGAGGTTGTTTATGTTAACGGGGCGGGGGAATTTTGGAGAAAGTAAGTTATAAAGTGGAACAGCAATATTAGGACAATTGAAAAAAATGTGTTCCAAGGTACCGTCTTCTAGGCCGCACTCGCACAGAGAGTGATCTCGAACTCTGATTTTACGCAAAAATACAGGTGTGCAAACATGGCCTAAGCGCAAACGAATAATAGTGGAAGTGATGTTTTTAGGCAAATCGCGACGTTTAAAAAACCAGGGTTTAGTGGGTAGATTTGGTTGGAGATTACCATAGTGTCTACCAACAGTTTGTCGTGATTCCTGCCAAAGGACCGACCAGGAGGCTAGCATTTGGGGTTTAGTCATGGCGAGCAGATCTCTGGGAAAGCACTTACAGTATTTGCACACGCCAATTCTTGTCGCATCCTTTGCAAAGGCGTCTACTGCTTCGTTGCCACTGATCCCAGTGTGACCGGGAATCCAGGCCAGAGTTACCTCAATTCCCGCACAATGACATCGGTACAGAGCTTCCTTAATTTGGAGGGTGATGGAGAAATTGTCTTTGGAATGAAACGGTAGCTTAATAATGTCTTGGAGGCAACTTAGTGAGTCTGAGAAAACCAAACATTTATTAATTTTATGGGACTCAATATATAAAATGGCTTCGAGTATTGCAATTGCCTCTCCCGAAAAGACCGAATTCAGATAGGGGGATTTAAAACTGAGTACGACATTGAACTTGGGGAACCAAACCGCGGCTCCCAAGTCGCCATGTTCGTGTAATTTTGAAGCGTCGGTAAAAACAGTAGTCCAGTCATGCCATTCTCTCTCAACTATATCGTTGAAGACTTGGTTTGCTCCAGGGGTATCTTTCATGATGCCAAAACTAAGATAGACTGTTGGGCGAAACGTTAAACATTTAAAATCAGTTTCAAACAACGGGTTCATATAATTTTGGTAAATAGGGAATGGGAGATTGGAAATTTTGTTAAAACTGTTGATAAGAAGGGGGGGTTTCTTGTGTGACCAATAATTGGAGGAAGGGATAATCTCCGACAAGGATTGCAATACGGGAAGCAAAGGGTGAGAAGAATATTGAAAGATCTTGAAGAGGAATCTATTAGCAAGGAATTGTCTACGTAGATGTAGAGGGGGCTCCAGACATTCGACTTGAAGAGCGTTTGTTGGTGAGGATTTCATGGTACCTGTGATTATTCTCAGGCATCTTGCCTGGATTCTGTCCATCTTAGCCAAGGCTATTTTGTTGCATGGTTCCAGAAGGAAGCCGCCATAATCAAAATGACTTCTAATGATTGCGTTGTACAGGAGCTTTTGGTTATACGGATGTGATCCCCAACGAACACCAGAAAGTGCACGTAGGACATTTATGCTTTTTTCAGCTTTTTGACAAATATAGTTGAGGTGATGGATGCCAGATAATTTTGAGTCCAGAATAATGCCTAAAAATTTTACTTTTTCCCTCAGTTCTATGATTTCCCCATTAACATGTATTTCAGTTTCAGGGAGGCGTCTCTTGCGGGAAAAAACGACAGCTGTGCTTTTGTTAGCTGAAAGAGAGAGGCCGTGATCGGTAAGCCAAGAGTCTAGGTAAAAAAGGGCAGAGTTGAGGCGTCTTTCAGTATCTGAAAAAGATTTGGAACAAGCGTACAGAGCGATATCGTCTGCATATTGCAAGATTTTGCAGAAGCAATTGACTGAAGTGCCGAGGTCAGACGTGTACAAGCTGAAAAGGAGAGGGCTAAGAACGGAACCTTGAGGCAAGCCGTTCCAGACCATACGGGAGGGGGTTGTGGAACCGTTAACACGCACTGCGATAGAGCGACCCATAAACATGTTGTAAATGACATTGATCATCTTCACAGGAATACACAGATTGAGCATCTTCTGCCAGAGTAGTGGAAGGTTCACGTTATCATAAGCTGATGTTATGTCTAAGAACACACCTATGACGTGTTTTCCCTCGGAGAGGGCTAGTCGAACATCTGATGAAAAAATGCTTAGGCTGTCCATAGTGCCCATGCCTTTTCGGAAGCCAAACTGGCTTCTGGGTAACAATCCCTTGCTCTCTACTATCCATTCCAGACGGTTTTTTATTAGGTGTTCCATGATTTTAGCTAAAACAGATGATAGGGCGATAGGTCGATACGAGTTTGCATTAGATGGGTCTTTCCCAGGTTTTATGATTGGAATGATAATTTGGGTTTTCCATGAAATAGGGACTATGCCCGATTCAAAAATTGTGTTTATAATATTCAAAAAAAAAATTTTGGTAGGATTAGAGGACCTGGTAATAAACGAATAGGGAATGCCGTCCGCACCCGGCGCCGAATCCCTTAAATGGTCCAAAGCACAGCTTAGTTCTTCAAAAGAGAAGGGGGCATTCATACTGTCAGGAGATGACAAGGAGGTGTTTATAACGGTAGGAGCTTCTGAAGGAACAAAAGGGGGGGATAATTTTGTAATAAAATCCACAAGCCAGGGTGTCGGGTCGTTAGACGAGGTGTTGTTGTGATCAGTCTGAGATCTGCGAAAGGATTTTATTCTCTTCCAGACTGTAGACGGGTGGGTGCGGGGTTCCAGAGATTCGCAGAATGCACGCAGCTTAGTACATTGTAACATTAATAAATAAAATCTAACTGACGAACAATGATGAAAGATGATACCGATTTTTTTAAAAATATTCATGTCATTGTCATGCTATTCTTGTAAGTTGATGTGCCACGTATAGGCTGTTTGCTGCGTATTCCTAAAAAATGTGAAAAAAAAAACAGTAAAAGCTATGTGCGATAGTTTCTTTTTACTATGATTAGTTTAACGACCTCGGTGGTCGAATAATTTGCACACAGGTTTTCATCGTGTCGCTTTCTCTAAGGTTCCGGGATTGATTCTCGGCCGGGTTAATGTAGAAAAGCTAACTATTCTATACTGTCTCGAATCTGGGTTTTGTGATACCGTCGTTGTTTCCGATTTCCATAACACAAGTGGACACATGGACAGTACGGCGTTTACAGTAAAATTAAATTTCAGAATATGATAGTACATGATACCGTTTCGATTTATGGATCTCAAAAAAGCAATTAAGGAAAGTCCTTTGACACAAGTTGTTATTTTCAGGGTGAATTTCAATTTCCGAATTTCAATGGCGCTTTTTGAGTGATTTTTGCAAACCCCTTTTTTCTTCTGGGTTTAAGGTCTTAAACGTACAAATAAGTTCAAGCAATGTCAATAATTATAAAATCACAGAAATATTTAAGTTACATACTACAAAAAACGATATTTTAGGTCACACGAATGAGATTGCAGTAACATGCATGATTTTCTCATAAACATAAATGAGAAAGACGGCACAGTAATGAGAAATTATTATTCACATAAGAACATTTCACAACATTTAGCATATTTTAATATAACTTCTTGTATCAAAATCCTTCTCATCCATGTAAGACTATCTATCTATATGTAATTAATAAATAAATCTAAATAAGTATTTCGTTAATGTCATATAAATTTTGTTGTACATCAATATATCATCATCACCACCATCAACATCATCATCATGAGCACCATTATCATCAGCATCATTACCATTCACATCGTCATCGCAATCATTGTAATCATCACTACAACCATCATCACCAACATCACCATCGTCACCACCACTATCACCATCTAATTGTTATATGTCAAGTAAATGCTTGGCTTAAAGTAACTATTGACTTAAAAGTAGACAAGAATGAGAGCGACAATAATGATATTGGGATACATTTTTAATTTTCAAGTGTGTAAATTGTGCTGGACCGGTATAAAAGTACATGGATTTTAAAGTTCCCTTTGTCTAACTGACGTACAATAAAGTTTATAAAACTATTTCTTAATACTTATTTAGATAGATTGCTATACATGAATGAGAACGATTTAGTCACTAGCGCTGAAATTGGTATTTAAGTCGATTTTTTGCTAAAATGGAGATGCAGGAGCCCCTTCTCACGTGTACGAAGGGTGAAGGTGATGCGGTATGAACTTTTGTTATTAGGAGGCTTTTAGTTGAATTGACACTAATGATAAGAAAAATTGAAACACATTTTGTATTCCCAAGAAAACATGTTTGTTTATAATAAATTGGAAAATTAGGGTATGTATTCGACGTGTAAGTTATTAGAATTTATCCTCGATGGGACATATTGCGATTTCCACGAGAGTTTTTTTTTCTTAAAATTGGAGCGACGTGGAGCTTCCATGAATGAGAAATTGCCCACTTTTTTAATTTTGATTTATTGCTGTTACGTAGTAAAATAGTATTTTTATATGTAACACAGACTAAGTAATTAAGCAATCATATTAAATAAATAATGCTTAACATTCATGTAATAACATAAAAGTTATTGAAAGGAACACATTTTTGGAGGTTATCTGAAAACGACCCTTCAGTTTTTATTTACTGACAGTAGCGACGATCGCCATAATTTTTATATTATTCTTATAAAACTGACACTGGCACAACTCTTGTAGCCGCCATAAAGAAAATAATAATAATATTTTCAGTTTGGCAGATATTTGCGTAATTAAATTTAGAAAATATTGCATACAGTATTTGAATCCTATTTTGCATATCATTGGAGCACCATAACAGTAAAATATGGTTGCATTACGGAAATTTATTCAACCAAACGTGAGTTCATCCCGGTATAAATCTTTTCCTGCGCGTACTAACCTCCATAACCGCCGTTTGAATAAATTATAAAGGATTCCAGGAGTTTTCTCACCAATTTACTACCATACTCATAGTGATATATATCTTGTGTGATAAAAAACTACCACTTAAGATTGTTTCTTTAATTTTTTTTCGCGAAATTTCTAGTTTCAATGTAACAAAATAATTTAACGAATTCTTAGGTTTTCGCGATTGCTACGTATTAGGAATGTAACATTTTTTATCTAAATCACATATATTGTTGTTGCAAACAAAACAACGTTTTGGGCTCATAGTTGCGGCTGACTTGCTCCGAAAAGAAAATGGTTTCTTTTCCAATTGATAATTTTAATTGAAATATGACGTTGTAATTACTTGTAAATAAAATACTAAAAACTACACAAACTTGTACAGCTCCTAAAGTACGGATCTTTTATTATTTCCGTTCCTTATCCTTTCCATTCAAGAGCTATTCGAATAAAACAACACTACACACACGTAGTAATTAAAGCAGCTTTGCCATTTAAAGACAATAAACTCTCTGCAGTTTCCCCATTACCTCCGTCGTAATACAACGCAATGAATAAGAGTACCGTATCTGAAGAATTAAAGGTAGAAATCTAGTGTTTAGTAGCACGGTCGTGACTTACGGCGGCGTAGCACGTTTGAATCTAGAGCAGTTACAGTAGTTAAACGTAGGCATTGTAGCCGAGTTAAAATAGAAGTGCGACAGCGTAGCACTTCTGCTCTACATGTGTAGTGGGAAACTTGACGTATTTTGACGTTTATGTTTTTTTTTGTGGTAGGGTTTTTCACTAGTAACTAGAATCAATACTTATAATATCTTTATATGAAACAATTTCCACACTGACGTTATCGTTCCAATTAGTAGGTAATAAGAGATTAATGTATGTTTTTTCAGTTGTATAGTAATATCCGAAATATTTATACGGCCAGCTCGCTTCGGAGTCATGAACTTGTGGTTCACAGAGATAATCCAGATAACAATGAGGGAACGCATTTCGAATTCACTATAGATAATGTTACTGTAAGTGTAATGTTTTTAAACTTCTTCTTGCATCGATGCCATATGCTACCATGCTTACCATCGTTGTGAAAGGATCCGCCAATTAGCGTAAGGTACTCGCACATTGTTGCCCAGGGTACGGCAGACGTACAAGAGAGTCCTGGTGATGCTCTTTTCGTGCACCTCAGTTTTTAAACAAACGTATGTGAAGGTCTGATGCGAATATACACTGCCATAGCTGTTTGGACTGTAGAAATGGAAGCCCGTAGTATTCGCCTAGCTTATCTATAACAGCTGATATTTAGGAGGGCAGTATCTTTAAAATAAACGGCATTTAATATCTTAATCCCAGTAAAAATAGTGAAAAACAATTATTACACATTATTTATTCCTACTGTTAACGTGTGACACAATATTAAATTTTTATAGATAATATATTACGACGATAAATAGAGTCTGGCCAACGAAAACGGCACAACGTATTTATTTCAAAATCTTATTATGGTAACACTATTTAACAGTCAAAAGTACTTTGACAATTCCTAATTATAAAATTTCAGTACGCTTTGCACAAGCCCGAAAACAAAAAAAACCTTGGAAGATGATAGCTGATAAGTTCGATTGTCCTTTGATGTGAAAGCTTTCAAAGGACAAACTCACTATTAATAATTATTACGATAGCGAACCGAAAAAGTATACAAAATTTGGCACTCGTGTGACGACTAGAGAGAAATTCTCTTCATTTGACATTTCTATGCGCTGCAACTTAAACCTCATAGCGCTTATGCTCGCGCCTGTAGAGATGGTTAGAGATAATTCGTAGTGACATCATTTTCGAGAGAAAATTAAAAGTTCGAAGAAGAGATAACTTTTGTCTTCTGGCTCATGCTAAGCCTGCTGTTTGCCTGACTGATTGTTGCAAGCACAAGATTTTTGTAATGTGCCAGCTTTCGTTAGCCAGTCTAGAAAAAGACGCTTGATCGTTCGCTTTCAATTGCTGAAAAATGTTGATTCCTTCGTCGCTGTCGTCGATTCACTAGTCTAGCCAGTTGTCAACACGTACACTTCTAAAGTGCACGATGCGATAGTATAGATACATAGCATGGGTATAGCTGATTAAATTTAACGATTTTAAAAAAGTCCTCAATGTTAGACGGTTGTGTACTGTCATATATAAAAGGACATCAGCAAAATGTCATCCTTAATTCACCGCCTCTTCGAAAAATTAAAAGCAGTTGTGAAATACAAACCAATCTTTGTGAAATTCCTTAGCAACCTTTGTAAAATTCATAGCGATTGTAGTATAGTTCAAAACAATCTACGTGAAATTCATGGCAATCTTCATGAAATTCTAAGCAACCTTCGTAAAATCAGTCTTCGTGGAATTCTAAACTGTAATATCTCAATACTCATATAAATCTTAATATAAATATTATGGTAATCTATATGGTAATATAATAACGTCATTATCCTAATTTTTAATTTCATGTATCACGTTGTTGTACTAAGTATTCTCTATGTTATGTTAATAGAGGAATTATCATCGCGTCCAATTAATATGGACTTAATTTATTTTAAATCACGTCAACATCGCTCATAGAACTCGCGTACAATTGTAATTAATTATGTGTAACAAAATGCAAATTACCATCGAAATGATTTTACATTTAATTTTTATGAGAACTCTAAGATTAATTGTTTTTTTTACATTTTTATTTCATACCGAAAAGCTATAAATAATGTCTGCTTTATGGTATTTAGTATGGTTCTAAACTTGTTGCGTACCTAGTTTCGTCATTATTTTCAAAAATAAAAATAATCCTCATTAACTCATCTATATTTTTCCGCAACGCATTTTATGAGTGGATTTATTTTAATATGAAAGTTAATGGAAGGTAGTCATCATCGCCCATAGACATCTATACATTAGAGGTACCACGAATAGTAATTTGGCCGAATACCGAATATTCGACCACGTTCGTTGCCGAAGCGCCGAATATTCGGCAGTCGAATGTTCGGCGTAAGATCTGTGCATTTCACGTGTGACCTGTTACGGCCTGCCTCATTGCGCTGCGTGCAGAGGTAAAGGGAGTGTGGTGTTTTTATTGAAAAATGATAAAACTGTTTTGAAGAAGTCGCTACAGATAACGTGCAAAATGATGAGGCTGTGGAAAAAGTTCTGTAGCATATGAAATTGATTTTTATTTGAAAACTGTTCGCCTAAATCGGACGGCAGAGCCTTATCAGCATCAGCAAACGCAAAGCAGTATCCAAGCCTGTCAAAATTTGCTAATATTTGTCTATCGTCTCCTGGCAATAGTGTTTATAGTGAGAGGGTATTTTCAGAAGTAGGAATTGTTTGAGGAAACGCGCGATCGATTGTTACCAACCAACAATGAAAAAAATGTTTTCCTTTATCACAACCTGTCACTGATTGATTTTAAGTATTAAAGCAATAATTTATGATTAAATACTTATTAATTATGATTTTTTCATTATTTGATATTCGGTATTCAGCCGAACAGTCGTACTATTCGACTGAATACCGTATATTAAATAAAGTGGCCGAATACCAAATTGTGGCCGAATATTCGTGGCATAACATCAGAGGATTTTTTGAGAGCCGTGTTGACTTTTTGAAGAATATATTTCAGGATGGAGACCATTCAACATTTTGCAAGTTTGAGGAAAAAACGAATGTGATGCCCGCGTGGTCTTACCGTGCCAGACGTCAAGGAATGGGCTCTAACCTCTTTCGCGTGAGGTGTCATATTCTCGGCCTTAATGAAAATAGGTCATATTATGTAAACTTACATGGATATACAATATGGCACGGAAGCTCGCTGGCAGTGATATTCTATCAGATTCAGATTCAGATTCATTTATTTCTCAAATATAACATTACAGTATAACTTGCACTACATGTCAAAGTATAAGAAATTATATTGAGATCGTCAGACAAAAATGAAAATTATAAAAAAAAACATAATAATTAGAAAATTAACTTTAACAGATATAAGCAGAAAAGCGTTGAAATGGCAACACAGTTATTTTTAAATTTTTTTTTGTAATAACCCACACACTCGACATAGCCCCGCACTAGGGAAACCCTGTGTCGCGGGTGCCATGGACACACACATAGACAACCATAAATTACACCCAAAGTCACGAGGGAAATAAATGTAGGCCATACGAATATTTTTCCTGGCCCGGGGATTGAACCTGGGACCTCTGCGTGGCAGTCCGGCTTGGTAACCGTTCAGCCAGAGAGGCAGTTGGAAATACAGAATACCAATGTTACGGGTGCTATTTTTCGCTTTATTTCCTTATTATGCTGGTAAATTATCTGTGCAATTGTTTTGCAACTTTATTAAAATTGATTCGGTACTGTCACAAGAATCAATGTTACGGTGCTGTTTTTCACTTTATTTTGATATGCTTTAACCATTTAGTTCTTCTATTGACTATATTAGCACCACTATGGGATCCTTCTATGGTATTCGCATCTAACTTCAAGTCGGTTATGCCATTGTTGGTTCAGTTGTTGCATTGACTTCTTAATCCGACAGTAATATGATATTCACACCTAACTTTACACTATCCTATTACCTCCACTAGAGTTATAAAAGCCGTGCTAAGACCAGTCAGCTCAGTCTTGATTCAATAATGAATTTAGAGAATACTAGTGAATTTAATCTCATTAAAAGCGAAGTGAAATCGGAGTTGGATTTCATTTAGCGGTCATGATTAAATTATTTCTGCAATTGTTTTGCAACTTTTTTTGAATTGATGCGGTACTGCCACATGCAAGTAAGTGAAATTAAATTAGAATATCCTTAGAACTGTCCATTGTCCACAAGTACAAAAAAAGTCTGAAAAGTGATCCATATCGGCGCATGACGTTTAGTGGGTACAATTATACAATTAGACCTAACATTTCCGAAGATTATTCTATTTGAATTTCGTAATATGTGTTCGCTGTACTCTCGAAATCAAAGCTGATTTTGTCTGATTTCCACGATAAGTAGTTCATGTCAATGTGTGAAATTATATCCCTCCGGGTATTGTGTCAGGTTGACGCCCTGTATATTCTAAGGTACGTTACTAATTTGATCGGGGATGAAAAACAAATACATATTCGATAATAGCTTTTATCTGTTGTTATTTATTTCTTATGACACAGGAATAATGTTATCCTAATATATCCATGTAGGCGTCTAATTTTACTTTCCTCTTACAGCGAATAGAAGCAATGATTAAGAATTACCCAAGAGGCAGTGAAAGGTCAGCATTAGGCGCTGCACTTGATTTAGCTCAACGCCAAATCGGCTGGGTACCCATATCAGCTATGCACAAAGTCGCACAGATGCTACACATACCGAGAATAAGAGTTTATGAATGGGCTACATTCTATACTATGAATAAGAGGTAAAGTTTACAAAACAATTACGACCAAAAACAACTGACATCAGTGTTGCAATCGCACATTTGAAGTACGTGATAAAACCCAACCTAATCGAACGAATGAAACCAATTTCGGTAGGAACCATTTCGAGAATAAAAAAAAGATAAGAGTTTATAATTAAGCTCCCCAAATATAGAGAGAGAGAGTGCATATTCGGATTTGTTGAAGTTGGAAGTGCCTTTAACCTCGACCGAACCGCTTTCGAAAAAACTCAGTGTGATCATAACTTTTAACACTCTGAAATGTCACCGTGGCTAATATTATGGTTGCGACTATTTTGCACTGTAAATTAGCAAAACGAGGCACTTTTCCACGATTGTCGAAATTTTGCGCGTGACAATTGATACAACCATAACGTACAAGCTAATGGCAGCAAAAGGCTCAGTGAGCTCAAGTATGCAGAATACTGCATATTATTGGCACACGTGACACGCCCAGTAAACACTTGTGTTTACTGTTCTCTGTTGTAGGGTAACATAGTATAATTTTACTGTTAATTACAAAGTGCATTGGCGTGGAATTCCATGCAAGCTATGCACTCACATATCGTGCGATCTTAAGAGCGGTTCTGCTTTAAATAACTTTTATTTCCAGACAATACCGAGGAAAGTACAACGTAAAGGTTTGCAAAACAACGCCATGCATGTTACGAGGTGCTGACATAATTATACGAGCAGTAGAAGAATCTTGTTGCTGTCGTGTTGGCGAACTATCTCCGGATTACATGTTTGGTGTGGACGTAGTTGAATGTCAGGGCGCATGCGTTAACGCGCCTGTCATAGCCATAGACGATGACTATTTTGTGAGTATTTCTCTAGAAATTAAAAGGTAGCTTATTTAAGATTACATCTCATTTTAGTAGGAGTTTAGGAGCTCCTTGTGAAAGAGTTAGTCCAGGAAAGTACTGCCACCTTACCTGTTTCTGTCGCCAAGCAGTAATGAGAGCATTATTGGGTTTCGGTTTTGAAGGGTGAAATAACAGGTACATGCGACTTGTCAACTTATATCCCAGGGTGACAGACGCAGTGGCAATGTCCCTCAGGTCTTTGCGATTTAAAGCCTTTGAGGTGGAATGCTGTCGCTTAGTAAAAGGCGCACGACCTATTCGTCTCGTCACTAGGCATCATAAAAAAATGGATATCGACCGTTCGTATGCCCGTAGCAGTAATGTAACTATGACTGATTTCTAGGTTGTATGCCATATCCTTAGGAGAGACATGTGCCCAAAAGTGGGATATATAATGGGATGATAGTAATAATTCTTCAGGGAATTCGCAAACAGAATGCATTCGCGTGTTCCACATTTGTGTTTTGCTTTCTTTACAATATATTCCGCCTGTAGGCGTGACGCATACAGATAACGTTCCGGCTGTGTCGGTCCATGTATGCAATTCAGCAAACAGTCATGAAGGCGGAACACGTTAGCGCCTGACTGCCTTTTGTTTGCAAAGTCTCGAACTTTATCATTCTGGTGAGAGTTTCTTAGCTGTTCCAAGATATACTCAAGTCGAAATCTTGTAATTGAACTTACAGAGTCAAATATCAGGACGTGCTGTAATACCCATTGTGTAGTCAATAGTTTTTAGTGTTTGGGTTTACCCATGTGGGATATTACCTATTTCATATAATGTCTACATTTGTGTTTTAGGAAGACTTGACATTATGCGACATTCCGAGGATTATAGGATGTTTGAAATCAGGAAATATCCCAACCCCTGGACCTCAGTAAGTATCTTTTTAATTTTACAATACTTATAAATTATATTGCAAGCAAAACGGGTGACGGGCGCTGTAGCAGTATCCCTCAAATTTTTGCGATTTTAGGCTCTGAGTGGCACTGCAACTATTATGGACAGTCGTGTCCTTACCGTCAGATGCACGGCTTGTTCGTTCCGTCACTTAGTATTATATAAAAAATATATATACCGACAAATAAAAGTCAAGGTACCTACCACACTACGACATTATTTGTATTAAATAACCACTTCCAGGCAACTTATTACATAAGCAATATTGTTATAGTAATAGTAATCAAGTATTATACTTATAGTAATTGCATTGATTACGCTGAAAAGCAACACGTATTGGTAGTTGATTTGTTTTTTCCTATTAATACATTGTTACTTAACACATTATGTATAAATTTTGGAGAGATCAAATAACGGGTAATAATCTTTTTGAGCCACAGGCACCAATATTAGCTGCTACGCGCAAGTAGCTTTTAAAACGTATTGATTAATTTTGTATTCTGCTTGTTTCAGGAATGGAAGGTTCGCTGCAGAACCGATCTGTGGGTTAACAACTTTATGGCAGCAGCCACCTGGACCTGGTTTCATGTTGCAGCCGGCTCTAAGCAGTCGTTAACAAGCAATTACCATTCCGTGTAATTATTTGATGTATACTTAGTTTTGTTGATACCTATAAACGGGTCTACTCATTATTGTGTGCGAGTGAATGAAATAAATAAATTTCTTGTGCATTAATATCCGGCAATCTTTAATAATATTTGTTGACAATTTTTAGGTCTGACCACCATGATAATCAATTATTTTTGTGAAATTACACCACCACTTTGTTATAATTATTAATACAAAGTAGAACGAACGAACACTTAGAAAAATTACATTCGGTGCGGCTGGAATCGAACCTACTTCTTCCAGCAAACCATGTCAAACGCTATGCCAACTAAACTAAACTAAAATTTTTCTATGTGCTTGTTGTAGATGTTTGTTTTGGTTTTAACGACGTTTTTGCCGCAGTGCCATCTGTGTGAAATCTATTTCTTCACTCAGCCAGGTACCTTTACAGCAACCGGCAGCTGTTAGAGATGTATTGTTATTGAATGTCATGAATATGTTGCCATTGAGGAAATGAAACTATTTTTCCGGATTTAAATCGCGTATATTTGTTTTTTCAAACAAACTAACGTCTCGTATTTCCTCTGAAGAAAAATCTCAAGCAAACATAAGTCTGCAGTACTAATTAATATGTTTTTTATCCTAATTTCCATTATTAATTAACCTTCCAGTGGTCGCATCCTTGCGCCGAACATAAGCTAACGCGCGTGGTCTGTGAGACCGCAACTTTGCGCGTTCAGTTTGAGAAGACAAATGAATATCACCATTACGTTGTATAGCACATAATAAAAATAAATCTTTTGTCTATATAAATGGAATAAAAAACATTATTTACTTATTATTTTTTTAATTTGTACTTATTAATCAAACAGTCTACAAAAATTCAAAATTTTAGTCATATGACACAAAACAACGTTAGAAATCAAGAACATAACAAAACAAGATGAAATTTTCTATCTTAATCGTTAATAGACATCATAATTATTACTATGACGAATCAAAATTATGATCAATAATAATTGCAGAAATTTGTAGGAACTCTAAAAGCACACTTATTTTTAAATGTTTTTTTTTTCATGATGTTCTACGTAATATCTTAATTCTAATATAATAAAGAAGGAAAACAAAATAAAAATCTTCTAAACATTGTTAAGAGTAGGTACAGGGTCAAGCTTGACACTTAAGACTTAAATCCAACTCTATGCCGCTTACGATAAGTACGGTCCAAGGAGAAAGTGTCAAGCTTGACGTGCTCTTGACTGTACTACGATAAGCTACTCCTTATCAGTATCAATGGTTTGACATAATCAAATCTTCATTTTCATCTTCTGTTTCCGCCTCCTCTGCGAGCCGTTCTGATTCATTGTGACTTATTGTCTATAACAAATAGCGTAATAATAAATAATTGAATATAATGTTACGTAAAATAATGTAATTTTGTAATATACGTAGGTAGATAGATATACACTTTCTTGCTCACACACAAGAACAAAAACAGTACATAGACAGCAATTAATGTGGGCAAAGGCGGATTTATCGCTAAGAGCGATCTCTTCCAGACAACCTTTGAGATATAGGAAAGCTAATCAGAGCACCAATAGCAAAATTTGAATTGTATAGATAGACAACAATTAACATTAATTTTATTAAATAATATAGTACAAATAACATGAAATACTCACCCAGGTTTCAATTTCAATTCATGAATTTTTTTGGAACACGACCGGGCGCGCGCGGAATCTGAGACCGCAAACATAAATAAAGATACATGTGCACATGCGACGAATGTCACAGGGCTACTAAGGAGAAGTACCTCATCTCCTCGAGGATATCATGGTCGCTCAACCATCTATAGTTTATAGTTTTTGTAAAATGACTAAAATAAGGTCGCTGCGGTCCCTGAGACCTCGCGCGACCAATGGAAGGTTAATAATAAATTTTACTTAATAAAAATTCATATTGTTACAATAAAATAATTTGTGAAACCAATGCAGTGTAAATTGGAATGCTTCTTTGTAAAATAAAAAATAAGGTATTTAATTAATAACTTTTGTAACTATGGTGAAAAAATAGGGTGGTTTGCATTAATATTCGACATAACTGGTTGATGACTGTACCACCTCAGTCAACCGTGAGCATGTGACCTGTAAAGGGCTCGAAACGTTGCTTTGTCTGAAAAAACAAATATACGCGACTTAAATCCGGAATCATAGTTTCATTTCCTATGTGTAACAATCGCGAAAACTTAAGAACTCGGTATGTTGCCATTTATTATGTCAGTGTGTATGTCTTGATTTCGATTTCATGTGATTAAGTTCAAGCTCAAAGGCTTTGTCTTGAACTTAATCGATTTGGAGTTCAACTGTACTCACCCATCATCAAACTAAACTTATCGAGTCATCTATGTAACGAGTGGCGTAACGAAATAGCTTGTGTTTGTTAACAGCACCTTAAGTCTGGTATTCCACATCTACTGACTTGGTGACCATCGTCGTCAGACTAAATTCATCTTCTTTTTTAGATGATTATTGTGATTACCTACTTGTGTGAGCACGTTGCAATGACAGTATTGTCCAGGTTAGATAGAAATTATTGAATTGCTCAGTATCTTCTTGAAATTATTTGTATGCAAATTAACAACATAGTGTTAACTAACAGATAATGAAGATTGGTTGTAAGGAAAAGGTCTTTTGACGCTACTGGTTCTGAAATTTACTAATCAATCATGGTTACTTAAGTCACCATGTAACAAATAAAGAAAACTCTTCTACCGAAAATAGTTGTGTATGAAAAGTTTTGAATCATCTATCACAACTGGTTGTGACCTACAGCGGTGATAGCCTCCAGAGGGAAAAGCGTACAAACTCTGTTACAAACAGAGCCTCTACCATGAGTTTACAATGACAGTGAATATGTCATCGAGTATATAACCAGAAATAGAGACGAAATGTCATTTAATTTGTTTCAAAACTATTCGGCCATATCATTACTGTGACAACTGCGCTCCGATTCGCTAGCCCGAGTTCGAAAAAATTGACGGGTGTTCTCAGTGGGTGTCGTCAACTGTTTCACTTCAAATCGACCAGTTAACTTGATCTTTGCTATAATGAACGAAATTTGCAAAATTACATATTCAATATTTAATTGCCGATGAAATGTGATTCCGTTTGTTTTGGAATTAGATGTTTTGCTGTTTTTCCCACACCACCATTATTAGAGAGTTAGAGACCTTTATTACAATAAATACAGAATATTTTTTGGAATATACGGAGACCTACAGACAGGTCAATAGTTAGCCTGTCTACATTTCAGTGCAAACGGGAGTTGATATTTATAAGAGCTGTATCTCTAATGTGTTACCAGGAATATATAGCCCTTATTTCGTCTCTGTTTCTGATTATATACTCGATGAATTATGTACACAATCGTTTTACACGGTTGTTAGAGAATCTGCCGATCTAAACCACGAAAGAAAAAACAATGGAAGCGCCTTCAGCCTCGATTACTATCAGAACAGCTGTCGCCAAATTTCAACTGTCATAGTCGTAACATTAATAAACACTACAAAATCTTAATAATGATTTGTCGTGGTTTCTAATTTATAAAGATATAACAAATTCTGGACTGTTAATATAATTTAAGCTTTACCCTGTAGGCATATCGTTGAAAGTTCAATTTTAATGTTGAAAAGTTGACGTTTAGATTTTATATTGAAGTTTCATTCAATGTGCTGCCATCTAGCGGCAATAGCTGAAAGACGACGAACGATTATCGTTATACAAAAGAAAGTCAACCATAATGCAGCGTCATAAACTTTACTTTCGTTTCTTGTAATAAAATAATCAATTACGATAAACAGAAAATAAAAATTTATTACAATTGTATAAAATAAGACTTAATCATGATATGAAACACCACCATGAATACTATCTACTCTAAATTTATGCAAAATTTTTGCGCTTAAAGGGTTCAAAATAAGGCATTTTTTTCACAATTTGCGAGGTTTTGCGAGATAACACGACCATAACATATAAGCGAAAATGGCGGCCGCGAAGTTTGCGGATCTCCGGGTACTATTGAAGCGCGTGACACACCCGCTTTGCACTCCTATTGTATTTATTGTTCTTTGATCTAAACTCATGGTAAAGAGGCAGGTTATTATTACATACCTGACTTACAATACTTGCTAATTAATCAGTAGAAAGATTATACAGGAACGTACTGAAATATCTCTGTTTATATTTCATAGCTTCTCAATTGAATAGCCTTCGGAGTAATAATAAGACGGTGGCGAAAAATTTTTCATCCTCACCATGAATACCGTTAATTAAGAAGCTACCCGCCGCCTTGATTCTTTTTTCTTTGTGACAATTTGCGCAAAGATTTTCTTCTAATTAATGTTATAATTAAATTAAGTTTATTAAATAAAAAAGTTGCTTGGAATTATTTTATCCACTGTAATATACAATGTTATCAAAGGAAACCACATTTTAAAATTTTATTTGTATAATAAAATATCTAAACCTTGTGTATATTTAGCTATTTTTTTAATAATAGTAGGTCTAAATTTCAAAAGCTTCATATATGCGACAAACATTTTAATCATAATTTCTCTTTGGGGCACTTAACCAATATTGAGAAAACCCTTACGATGAAAACTTTTTTAGCTTAGAATTAAATTAATATTGTATGAACGTTTTAATATCCTGTCAGAAAAATGCAAGTATGATATTCCAATTTTCCACATCGGAGAGTCGGTTCGCGAGTACGAAGGGTGAACGTTTAATTATAGGACGATGGTGTGACGTTATTTTTTCCATAAATCGGATTAAATGCTCCCCACATTCAATGCATAAATTGTTTATTATCAAATATGCGATGCAAAAATCTGGGCTTAGTGCGTGTGTATTCATGTGCTTTTGCGTATGAATGTGCGTTTACGTTTGTGCTTGCACGTGATTGTCGGTGTATATGTATCACGGAGAGTGTGCGATGGAATTACATAATTTGATTCCGCCTTCCCCTTTTCATCATCGGGGGACTAGACGTTGGCTGGGGTTCCACCCCTATGGTGTAGATATTCCCAGGGTTCGCGCGAATCGTTTCGCTTCCACGTTTATAAGGCGAGCGGCTAGGGATTGGAATTCCCTGTGAGCAGACTTGTTCCCCAAACTAGGACCTTTTCAAGGCGAGAGTGAATAGGCAT